AGGACGTTTCCATTTCTTGTGCTGTCCATGAAGACACGGTGTCTCAAAAAAACAACTGCGCCGAATCACATCTACTAACAATGACTGTACTTTTCATTCGATCGACGCAATTTTTTAAATACTATATGCGAATAGAGCAAATAAGGTACTTACCAAATTTATTGAAATTGAGGCATTGCATCACGTTCAACGACAGTTCAAACTCGACAGGCAAGTCCGAGGTCGTGTCGTTCTCCCTTCGTCGCCTATCTCGATTTCGGAATTTTCGGTCGGTTCGAAGGAAAATTGGCCGAAAAATTTTTCGTTTTCGCATTTGGCAACGAACCCATCAAGTTGGAACTGCCATGCGATGGCTCAATCGTCTTAGAATTAGGTAATTGTCTTCTTTACTCTGTTCAAGTGCAGTATTTAAAGAATTGCGTCGATCTGATTAAAAATACTTTCAATATCAGCGAAAATGATTTGGCACCGTTTTTCCTTAAACACAGTGTAGAATGAAACTGTGGAACGGAGAGGCTGCTTTGCTTCTGACCTGCAAAAATGAAAATGAAATTTCACTGCAGACAGACAAGAAAGCATAGGCGGCGATTTCTTCAGAAGTGTGTGTGTGTTTGTGGGGGAGGGAGAAGGGCCCCCCCCCATCTTGAAGTAGGTCCTTCCTTCCTTCCTTCTTCCTTGAGGGGCCTCGAGGCCCCCGCCTCGAGGCCCCTCAGTCCCTATTCCCTATGAATCGCCGCTTATGCAAGGAAGGAGGAATTGATTTCAGAAGGAAGGGTGAATGCCTAGAAAAGGGGTTCTTGACCTTCTTGTACCTATGGACGCCCCAGATCCTCAAATATTACCCATGGACCCCCACCCCTGGTTATCAGAAACTTTGGAACACTTGGATTTGTGATTATAAATTATGTTTTTTTCGGGAGCTACCTTCAATTATAAATTTAATTTTCCGCGGACCGTCCGCGGACCCCAGGTTAAGAACCCCTGACCTAGAGGAAGGGTCTTGACCCCAAATACAGAATACATTGCTGGAATAACAATAAGAAACACTCCTTAAAAGAATTATTCTGTGCAACAAAAAAAGTTCGACCCTCATGCCTTCATCACAATCGGCAACATAACGAGAACTTCCCCGTCCCGCAGCGGCTGACGGATCGTTGCTGGGTGATTCACGAAGCGACGCAGCCGAAGCTCGGGGGTCTCTTCTACAGTCGAGACATGGTGCTTCTGGCTTACAACAAGAAGATGCGCGACGGGGGCTTCATTTCGATATCCAGTACCAGCTGGCCTGGACTTGAACCGAGAGAGAATATGGTCAGGTGAGAGAGAAGGAAAAATGACTTTCTTTGAGGATAGCACAGTTCAAACTTTCATCTTTTCTAGCTTGCGACCCATCAGCGAATCTCACTGAAAGCGAGAAAGTTCCACTCTGGACTTAAAAGTTGGAATACGAACCCACGAAACAGAGTACCCAAGGCGCTCCTTCGAATTCAATTCCATGCAACTTAGGCTCCAGCCCAAATTCGTTCGATACAAGTGAGCTCCGCGGCAACCAGTTACCCAAGAAAAGGTCTCTTCCCCCAAAGAACCGTGACGTCATTGATGACGTCATCGTCCCCCAGGACCATAGCAGGTATCACCCTCATGATACCCCGAAGAGGTCTGAGTCATCCTGGCCTCTTTCGAATCGCTGCCGGCCTCCATATCACGTAGAAAACATGCGAAGAACTCATTCCATATATTTCCAGGAAAGAGTTTCAAATCCGCCGCACTTGAGAAAAGGAATAGATCATTTTTGAGTAGGTCTAGAAACACCTGCGCTTCCCCCCCCCCCCCCTTTTCCCCTTTCCCCCTTTCCCCCTTCCACAACAGAACTGTTGACGTCATCGTTTCCCCAAGCCGGCTGAGGTTGGGATGAGCAAGACAATTCAGGAAGTGGAAGGAACCTCTTTCCGCTTCGAAAGAAACCAACAGGGAACGCATATAATCAGATCTTCTTTGAAGGTTCCAACAAACGTCAATTCTCGTCTGGCATAGAAACTTCTCTGGCATGCTTCCACTTCGTAACTGCCGACCGACAAAAAAAACTAAAATAAAATCGGGGTCCAGGACCGATATGAACTCACGAAATGAAATGCGTCAGAAATATATATATATATTATATTATATATATATTTTCTTTTTTCAAGCATCAGTTGAAGGGCATGCCCATCACTTTCATGGGCCGAAAGAAAGCAATTAAGGTTCTGAAGAAGCTCGTGAAGGGCATCCCGTTGCGAATTTTGCAAGTCAGGCGCTCGACTTGGCCAAGGGTAAATGCTACATTTCATTTCATTTAATCGACTGTGAACTAAAATACCATGATAAGAAAGATGCCTCGCTAAAAAAAAAAAAATACAATAATAAAAACACACTCATTCTAAGGAACAACAGCAACCGCATTCCATTCCCGAAAGCCATAAAATGGAGTAAACTCCTGTAGGATATTGGCAAATGGTGTGAGACATGTTCGGACGTGGATATGAATATCAAATGAAGTTGCAAGTTCATTTCAATATCAGAACGTCGACACCAGTATTTTGAAACCTCCCATCGATCGTTTATTTCATGTAATGATGTATATCCTAGTATTGGAGCTGAAATTTGTCACTGAATCGTCGTGGCGAAATTTAAGGGGGCCCTTGGTCCTGAAATCGGACTCGGCTGGTCCGGTTGAATTTGCCTTTTCCGTGCCTTACTGATTTTTCGGATGCTTGGCGGAAATAGGGCGGAGATGGCGGACGGTGGCGGAATGTGCGCATTGCCCGACCCGAAGCACAACACGACGAAGACCCTGTTTCGTTTCGTCAGCACTTTGGACTTCAAAATCTCCCTCATCCCGTACCGCGTCATCCAAGCGCTGTACGTGGAAGGAAGTCGGAACTACATCGTCGGCTTGCGGAAGTACCAGAAGGCTAGGCGACAGAAGGAGGTCCATCGAATTGACCAGCGATGAGAGTATCCCCTTCCAGTCTCTTTTGCTTTAAGTGGGTTGCCAACTCGTTTGATATTGACGTCGGAATCTGAATAAAGTTATCCGTTCTGTCGATGGAGAATGCATCGGGACACCGTAGTGGGGTATATTGAGGGCGATGCAATTGAAATGGAGGCCAGCCACTGCATCGTAATGCACCTCAGACCCGTGACACGAATCGATGGTAATTAAGAAGCGCTTTCGTCACGCAAAGCCATATGAGGATGGAGTAAATTATCATTATATCTTTATTAGATAATAATGGGCATGCATACCACTCACATCTTCCCAATTTTACTGTAATATGAGTATGTGAATCCCAATTACGTCCTAAATTTTTCGGAATTTCTATAGGAAATTTGATTGTTTTTCAAATAAAAAATACCACATTCGTCTGCAATTATTTTGTCAAAGTTATCGACTACTTAATAAAGGTAATGGAAGGTATTATTCAGTTCCTGGAATAATTTTTCTAGGTACAGCTACAGTGTCTGTGAGCATCACGACAGGCGTCAGTTGGGAAATCTCAGGGTGCTTTTCATGCCGCCGCTTGTTGTGCCCGGCCTTCTGGCACATCGAGCGCTGTCCCGCTTCCCTTTGTTTTGCCGTTGGCTCTTCGAGGTTGGAATTTGAAGTCATTTCTTCAGTTCCTTCCAATTCTAGGGGCTCACCGGGTTTGGGTACTTCTGGTCGTTTACGGAAGAGGTCCTTCTGCAGACGAGCAGTCATAAACGTGATTGCATTCCACGTTAAGTAGAAATGAACTCACGACCTGCCCGAATGCCGAATTTAGTGTGTGAAAATTACAGCGGCAAACAGAGCGAGAACGGACTGACGCAGATAGATTGACGAGGGATGCACTGGTTCAATGCCGAGGGAGCGAATTATATAAATCCGTGTTACGCTCTCACGATTGGAAAAGAGGAAGTGCTTAAACGCCATAGAATTTGCGAAAAGTTGACGAGTTGCTCGGCTTCTGCCTTCACAAAATTTGAAGCCGTTCATCTCGAAAACCCTTGTTGCCCCCTGTGATCCCTTTTCTCATTCACTGACAGCAGAGGAGTGGAACACCTGTATCGATAGATACTGATGAGGTAAAGTGAAAACCATTTTCAAAGGCTTCCCATTTCTTCAACCTTAACCCTCTCCTCTCTTTCCTTCGGGACTCACTAACTTGGCCTGGGCGTACCTACTTTCGTTCAAAAGAAGCAGAAGAAGCTTCGAGACTTTTCGACCAGGATGTGGAACGTTAGGCCCATCTGGAGACCGTCGAAACATCTCGACGAGGTCCGAGGAGAGAATGCCTCTGGGATGCATGAAATGCAAGTTGGGCGCCATCCTGTTATTTCAGGGATGCCCATATATGACATCTCCATATCATACCATAACGATCGGCCACTGCTCACCACCGTTTCAATCTCAACACATCTTATGAACTCAGCACAAAAATGATACATTAAAAAACCGAAGATCCAGATGCCGATAGTGGCCAGAGTGAATCTGACATAACCCCGGCACGATATCCGGCAACACTGGGAGACGAGACAATAGCCAGCAAGCTAAGTCTGTATGAACAAAAGATAATCTCATTTTTTTAATGGCAAAAAGGTGCACTGCAAATAACAAAATGGGCACTTTTCGCCATCTAAAAGTCAATATATTCCTAAACAGCATGTTATTTTAATTTTACGTAAAATGAATGTAAATTTTTTGTCAACTTTATCTCATTTTTAGGCAAACCATCATCAAGACTTCTGTTCTGTCCCCATTTTCCCCCGAATTCGAGATAATATATAAAGGCAGCACTCATCATCTGCTACTATGCGCTGAGCTGTCATATAGCTATGTAGCAAACTATGCATGAAATCAGCTATGTTTTATTCAATTTCCTCAAGAACCAGAATTTTGAGTGCTATATTGTTCCATCTCCATCAGAAATGCGGAATTCAGAACCGGCACCGATTGGGTGTCGGTTAGAGACGCTCACTTCCACGAATTTCGGGTTCAAAGTCGTACATCACGATCAGGATTATTTCTGACCACACCGAGATATTTCACGGCGAGAATTGATCATCGGAGGTCGTGCGTGCACTTAGTGCAGGGAGATGTCAATCTTCCTGAAACGAGGGGGGAACGATCGTCATGGGATTCCCATTGAAACCCCCAAATTCCTGGAGAGTATATGACATTTTTTTAAATGGAAAATTGCATGCATGAGCCTTGTTTGCCCGGCATGACTGGTCGTGCGACCTTCCGAGAGTCCTCGATTTTGAGAGGAGTGCGGCCGACTTTTGGAGAGGGAGATGCCCTTCTGTTTGTTGCACACCCTTAAAAACGAAGGAAATGCAAAAGGTCCAATTGTATTTACTGCATACGAGTCCACCACAAGCGCGAAGTACAATTTTTTACACAGAAACAGCCAAGACAGAACGGAAAACCTCAAATCTAGAATCTTCCCTGCGGAATCCTCGCGGACCCCACCGCCCTCCCATCCATCCTGCCTCCCGTCCTCACGCGACGAGAGAAGCACGAGACGAGAGAAGCACGAGACGAGAGAAGCACGAGACGAGAGAAGCACGAGACGAGAGAAGCACGAGACGAGAGAAGCACGAGACGAGAGAAGCACGAGACGAGAGAAGCATTCCATCAGAGACTCCAATACGTGGGAGAGAACGGATGTGGCGTTGCTGCATGCTTCATTTGCAGCGTAGGTTGCATAGATTTGGAAGCGTGGCATTTAGATATCTTCTCTGGGGTCTAGGTTTCAGTCAATATCCTTTGCAGTGCATCTCCTCTCTCCTGCTCGGCCTGATGGTGTGAACTCTTGTCCGAGACAAGTCTGACTTCACCCATGCGAACGCTTCGAACCCCTTTATATGAACCTCTCCTTCTTCACAGTAATACTCTTGCAGCGGTCAGTCGAGTCTGATTCCAAACACCTCGACAAGGAAGTTAGAGGATTTCCAATAGCTAGAATTTGATTCATTTTCATTTAAAAAATAAGATTTGTCTGGCCTGAGACGACGAGATGCCACTGGTAGGAGGGAATAGCCTGCTTTGCTTCGCGCGATGAACGCAGTTCCAACCACGGACCTCTTGCGTCCACTCGGACACGAAGCGGTCGTGGGATCCGGCCTCGGCTTCGCCCGATTCCTCCTTGCAACAGCAGGGTCGCGAGAGAACTGGGCTTACCTCTCGTTCGAGGAGGAAGACCCGGGCCACGGTGCGATGCTCCCCCAGCCGCCTCGCGTCCCTCCACTTCTCGGTTGCATCGACGTTCTTCCTCCTCCAGTCTTCCTCCTCCTTGCACGCTTCCGGCGCGGGATGGAGGAGGTCCCTGCTCCTGCAGTGGTGGACGAGGGCGGGCAAGTTGTAGGAGTTCCCGTTTCGAACCGACGGAATTTCTTTCATTTTAAACGTGGACTGAGCCCATCCACCGAACCACGGTGAGAGTAATGCTTTTAGTTAGAGCCGAACGTCGTTATTAGGCAGTTATTTCATCGTTTCCAGAAAATACGGAAAATAATAGATGCAACAGTAGTCACAGTAACAAGATGACAAGATTTGCGCAGAACAGGATCGTCATTCTGGGAGATGATTTCATTTCTTTTTTTTCTCTGTGGTACTTCTGGGCTCCTAGGAAACGCCACTGAGGTAAATTGTATCAACAAGCAAATTAGTTTCTCTCATGAGAAATAAAAACGTAGAACGAGCTCCTCCGCGTTGTGGATACGACTGGATACAACTGAAATTGCAAAATCAAGGAATTGAGCGATAATGATGTAATTTGGTAAATAAACTCCACAGGTAGCACACGACGTTGGGCCCGCGTTGGCTGCAAGAGGAGGAGCGTGGGCCCACATCGCTGTGGGCTGCCCCCACAACGGTGCGAGGGCGGGTACCCGACATTCGTCATGTCACTGGATGAGACATCTTTCTCAGTTATTTGAACAAAAAGCTTCCCACAGATGAATCGAGATGGTGCAGATGTTGCCTAAATTTCAGCGGGATCATTAAGTGACTCATTAATCTATGGCCCCAGTACCTTTCACGCAGCACTTGATCTTTACCCACAGAGAACGTAAGGGAAGACACTCGAATTTCTCACATCATTTCGTTGAAACGGGTTTTTCAGCAGTCAAGGGAAACGCCCGTTAATCGCGGAGTGGTTCAATTCGGGGCTTCACTCGATAGGGCGAGGAGAAATGGAAGGAAATGCCATTCGATCGTAGAGGCTGCGCCTGGCTCCTCTTCGGGGAGTTTTCAGATTCGGGTGGGATAAAAGATTGGATTACCCGAGTCTCACCGGACAGGCAGTTGCATAAAGGGAATAGAGAAACACGTGAGTGAAAAATGAAATCTCGATGCGGCTCGATTCCCAGTGCGGAAAATGATGGCCTCAAAAGATGACAATCGATGGAAGTACTGCCCTCTGGAGTACTTCCAGCCCGACCATAGAGTACAGAGTGCAACGAGAGGCGACACTCTCCTCAAATCATGCTCATCGACTCGCAATACACAGGGTTGCTCGATCCTATTTCAAACTGCAGCGACCGTTTCGTTAGCATCGCCGGAAAGATTCTTATTTGAAAAAAAAACTTCTTCACATTAATGACTTTGAATCAGACTCAAACGGAAATAGCTTCAAAAGCACTTTAGAAAGGTGGACCTCTCGAGGTTGACTGATAACTTTTTCATTCCACTTCTACAAAACTCCTTAAACTTCATGTGTTTCTCTCCTGATTTCAGATAGGCATCTTCAGTTTAATTTGCATTCTCCGTCGAGGGAAAAGGCACGACAGCATCGAAGGAAAGCTGCCACCCGGAAGGAGGCCCTCGAGAGTCCCGTCAGAGTTTCGGCAATATTTGGGTGATGCTTCCATTTTTGACAAAGACGATTCCAAATGACATGGCTAATGTTACTTCTTTTCTGTACAGTATATGTTTAGTATATGTGCATTTTTGAAATGGTAAAGTGACTTATGGGACACCCTGTAGATGTCGCTGTCGATCCGCCACGCAGCGTGGGCACATGAACAACTCGTCCATGGGCGAGCAGCGGACTCTACGAGACACGCGTGTTACGCACTG